CAGACAGTGGCATGAGTGATCATAAGATATCCACTTTGTACGAAATACAGATAGAGGTGTGAGTGATCATAAGATATCCACTTTGTACGAAATACAGATAGAGGTGCGAGTGATCATAAGATATCCACTTTGTACGACATACAGAGAGAGGTGCGAGTGATCATAAGATATCCACATCGTACGACATACAGATAGAGGTGTGAGTGATCACCGAGCATGTTAATAAAACATACTACATATATGTATGCATACACTATCTACATTTATCAATTGATACTTTTCAAGCATAGTGAGTTAGTGAGTCTTAGCGCAAAGCTACACAATATACTACCTGCGCTCTGTCCACCACGGGGAATCGAATCCCGAATTTTAACGTTGCAAGTCCGTAAATTTATCACTGACACACTGAAGGACTTTGGAAGTATAAATGACTTCGGTTCAAAGGTTCATTCTCTAGAGAGTTGATTTTTTAAAGTCAAAAACAACAAAATCTCTCTTTAACCGAATTGTTGCGGAAGGCGAATCAATGGATACCCGTGAGCTGGGTCTACTGAATCTTACCTTTGTAGTTCGAAAAGTGTGTCGAAAGTGACCTCTTGCAGCAAGTCTACGGTCACTTCTTCGACTTGACCATTGTGAACAGCAACATTGACAAGACAATCGAGACTTTGGAAAAGCAAATGGAGGATATTAATGAGGCGAATCAATGGATACCCGTGAGCTGGGTCTACTGAATCTTACCTTGTAGTTCGAAAAGTGTGTCTCATTAATATCCTCCATTTGCTTTTCCAAAGTCTCGATTGTCTTGTCAATGTTGCTGTTCACAATGGTCAAGTCGAAGAAGTGACCGTAGACTTGCTGCAAGAGGTCACTTTCCTTGACGAGTCGTTCCAAACTCCCGTCAGTCTGAAGAAAGTAGAACAAAATAAGACGCGCCATTATTATATTAGTCTGATTATTTATATGAAACTCGTTTTTTAACCTCGCTTCCAGGAAAGTCTAAGTTAAATCTAACAATGTACCTCGTATAAAATATCTGAGCTTGAAAATGCACTGAAATAATGTCAAGCACACAGCACCTCCAAATACACACTAGAAGATACACGTAACGACGTGTTACTCATGTTACGAAGCTACACGATCTAAAAACAGTTGAATAAGTATATGAAAGAAAGAGAGAGTGAAACAGAAAATGAAACGGAGATAATAATAATAGAGAGATAGAAAGGGGAAAGAGAAACCGAAAAAAGATAAGGATGCAAAAGAAAGAATGAAATAAATGGAAACAATGATAGGAAGAGAGATACAAATAAACAGACAGGACAGAAACAATAGTTTGTTTGTAATTAAGCACAAAGCTACACAATGGGCTATCTGTGCTCTGCCCACCACGGGTATCGAAACCCGGATTCTAGCGTTGTAAGTCCGCAGACATACCGCTGTGCTACTGGGGGGCAGAAACAATAGTAGAAACAGAGTGAGAAGTAGAAACAGAGAAGCGAGACAGAAACAGGGAAGAGATATAGGGATAGAAAGAGTGACAAATTACGTTGCTGTTACATCTATCAAATAGATAGAATGTATATAATCAGTCTAAGTTTAAAACGTACAATCTCGACATGCTAGAGTGGCTACATATATATTAAAAATGTCTGCGATAACTTTTGTAACATATAATTATTATGTGTTTGTTTACTAATATTATAGGTTTGTAATTCTCTACTTGTGCATATACAGTTTGGTAACGCGGTTGTAAGAAACAATTCGCAGTAAAATAATAATTCCTGCAAACGTGATCATTTCATTGTGTTTGTCGTATTTTTTTTCTTGTTTTGATTGTATACACCCTTACCTTTGGGGAACCTGAATTAATTTAATGGCACCTACTTAATTTCGAAGTTAATCTACTCCTGTATGTTTAATTGAAGGCCTAGAGAGAAGATAATGAAAGACCCCGAGTAAAGACGTTTTTTAAACATGGACTAACTAACGAGTACATTAATATTTCACGATCTACAGTAAACATTTATTCAGACCCTGATATAAGAAACGAGTAACAAGTACCCGGCGAATGATTTATTAAAATTCAACTTACTGGTGTATCTGCTAGAGACGACAAAGATGGCGCTCCGATGAAGACAACGTATGGAGTGTATTCAACTGTTCGGAGGGTTTTCAACGCCTAAAACGAGCATTAAAAAAAAAAAAACAAGATACAAAAATTAAAGGTGAAATTTGTTTGGAATATTTTTTTTTATTACACTATTGTAGTTGTTGATGAGAGTTGATCAGTTATAATAGTTGTGAATAGATTACTGAACAGTTTGAAATATATACAAATGAAACAAGTATAGGGAAAAGTAAGTTTTTGAGTGAAAATATATAGAAGTAATACATTAGATGGACAGATAGACAGCCACAGACAAACTTAGGCATATCGAGAAAATTACTGTCCAATTATAATTAAATTTATTTATTTAGCTATCAAACAAGAGTAAGATTCAGTACACCATTCTATATAAACATTCCAGGTTAAACTGGTGATGATTCCAAGTTAAACTGGTGGTGATTCCAAGTTAAACTGGTGGTGATTCCAGGTTAAACTGGTGGCGATTCCAGGTTAAACTGGTGGCGATTCCAGGTTGAACTGGTAGTTATTCCAGGTTAAACTGGTGGCGATTCCAGGTTGAACTGGTGGCGATTCCAGGTTAAACTGGTGATGATTCCAGGTTAAACTGGTGGCGATTCCAGGTTAAACTGGTGGCGATTCCAGGTTGAACTGGTAGTTATTCCAGGTTGAACTGGTGGCGATTCCAGGTTAAACTGGTGATGATTCCAGGTTAAACTGGTGATGATTCCAGGTTAAACTGGTGGTGATTACAGGTTAACCTTGAGATGAGCCCAGATTAACTAGGTAATGAATCCAGGTAAATGTTGTGATGAATTTAGGTGAACCTGGGAATGAATCCAAGATAGGCTGGTGAATCTAGCGATGAATTCAGCAAAACCTGGGAATGAATCCAAGATAGGCTGGTGAATCTAGCGATGAATTCAGCAAAACCTGGAAATAAATCCAGGATAATCTCAGGTGATGATAAATCCAGGATAATCAGGTGACGAATCCAGGTGAACCTAGTGATTAATTCATGTGAATCTGGGAATAATTCCAGGAGAACCTAAAGAGGAATCCTAGAGAACTTGTTGAAAAGTCGTAGTTTTAAAACTTTTACTTCGATTGTAATGTAGTCTAGATAAATATATAGATAAAAAACAAACATGCTGGATCACTACCTGAGGTTCAACATCCAAGATGGCCACCTTTCCCTCAGCGTGGATCGCTCTAATGGTCTCCAGTTTAGTTCCGTACATAGCCTCACCGTACATTCCGTATTCTAAATATTCATTAGCAGCTATGTCCGCCATCATTTCGTCGTGAGAAACAAAGAAATAGGTTTTTCCATTTTCGTCCGATTTCCTTGGCGCCCTTGTTGTATCTTAAGTCAAAAATTACAGCACGCATCAGAAATAAACAGATGTGTTGACATGTAATCTAATGAGAAGTTGTAGCAACCTGGTAATAACTTAAACCATGTTTACTTTGTTCATTCCAAAAGAAACTAACAATAAGTATATCATTACTGAACTTGTAAACTGCAGATTTTGGTTGTTGATAAGCACAAAGCTACATCACGGGTATGGAAACCCGAATTTTAGTGTCGTAAGTTCGCAGAATTACCGCCGAGCAACTGAGGGGGGGGGACATAATCTGTAATTGTTACAATGGGGTAATTTAATGATAAGAGAAATAATGGTGTAATTTGACAATGGATAACAATCAAAGCTTTGTAATGCTAAGTGCTAAAATCAAAATTTGTTAAACCAAGTTACAGAATGGATGGAAATTGATTTGATTAAATATAGAACTGCCCAATGGGCTAACTACGCCCTTCCAAAGGGATCGAACCTCGAATTATATTGTTGTAAGCTCTCAAACGTACCGCTGCGCCATCGCGGGCAGAATGTAACTAGAACTCTGAAATTAAAAAAAACAAAAAAACCTTTGAAATTTTTTTAGAAATTTCATTTACAATTATAACCTCGCAAGTCTAGTTTAATTAAAATACGAGTAGAGTGGATAGCAGTAGAACTACAAGGGATTGAGAAAATCGTTGTAGGACTTACGAGGTATAGGGTAAGCATATTTCTCAGGATAATTTCCTATAAGGGTGTTTTTGATATGTCTTCTCCCAACTCCATGGGCACCTGAAAAAAAAAATACCCAACAGTGTTTGATTTATGTTATTAAACTATAAAAAAATTGGATCATACCCTACTTATTCAGTATACAGATTTTGTTTATGATAGACTTATTTGTATGGAGGCCTTTGTTTTTTTGCTTCATCTTGTCCTGTGATTAAGCAGTAAGCTCGAGGAGTTAGAAGGCTTAAAATCAGGATTCAACCCTCCCCCTCCTTCCCTCCATTAGCCTATTGTATAGCTTTTGTACGTAAAACAATAAAAAAAATCCACTAAGGTTTTCTGTTTACTGTTAAACGCAAAGCTGTGCAACGGACTAACTGCATTGTGCCCACTGCAGGTATCTAACCCGGAATTTCAGCGTTATAAGTCCTTAAGCTTACTCTGGCCCATTACGTGCCATCTCCTAGGAAATTTTAGTTTCAAACTTATAATTCAGCATCTTCATATACAGAATTTATAATAATAAAAGAATGAGAATGACACGTCAGCGCTCTGAGCTTCTGTATTCCAACAGGTCAACAAGAAATACCAAAACTTCCTTTCAGCCAGAAATACAATTTCTCAAACTTGTAAGGGTAAGGTGTTTGTAATTTGATAGCTATGTATATGATGAATAAATAGTATGTATGAATATCAATTAAAACGGTTATAAAAGGTTAGAAAATATTCACACATAAATAAGTAATGCCTCGGAGTCCTCCTTTTTGTTGCTGCCATAATTAAAACGGTTATAAAGTATTCACACATACACAAGTAATGCCTTGGAGTCCTCCTTTTTGTTGCTGCCATAATTAAAACGGTTATAAAGTATTCACACATACACAAGTAATGCCTTGGAGTCCTCCTTTTTGTTGCTGCCATAATTAAAACGGTTATAAAGTATTCACACATACACAAGTAATGCCTTGGAGTCTTTATAACGGTAATAAAAGTGGATTACTATTGCTGTCAAGATTACAGTTGGTTGTAGCTGGTTGTAATTAAGCACAAAGCTACACAACGGGCTATCTGTGCTCTGCCCACCACGGGTATCGAAACCCAGTTTCTAGCATTGTAAGTCCGAAGACATACCGCTGTGCCACTGGGGCTATTTGCTGTGTCCCCACCCCGTGGGGAATCGAATCCCGGATTTTAGCGTTGTAAGTCCATTAACTTACCGAGAATGAGGGGCAGTGTGTGTGTTGGGGGGGGGGGTATTGGTTAACACGCTTGTTTCGGATATTTGCGCAAGGGTTATCTGCGACAGCAGCCCTATTTTTGAACTCACAGACTGGAGAGAGTGCAGCTATTTATCAACAGCACCCATCGCCAACTTTTAGGATACTCTAATCGAATAGTTGGATTTGACCGTCACTTTATAATACATCCACGGCCCCACGGGGGGCAAATTGCGATTTTAAGGTAACCACGAATTCTCCGATCGACAGTCCGGCACGCTAATCACTAGGCCACGTGTGGCCCTTTTGTTAACAACTCCTTCTTGTTGGGGGGATTAAGGAAAGCTGACGTAAGAAAGATATCCAGGAGGTTTAACAAATCAGTGTCAACCCTAACTGGATGTTTAAAATAAAGGACTATTGTTAGCACTGTTTACGTGTTAATGCAAGTAATCTTTAATCGAAAAAAAAAAAAGGTGGACCATAGATATTGAGGGTCACATTATCCAAATGTTGCCCATTTTTATTTTGCTGTTTTGTTTTAGTGCAAAGATGCACAGTGAGCTATCTGCACTATATCCGTCGCAGGAATTTAACCCCGGTTTTTAGCGTTATAATCTCTCGAGTTTACCGTTAAGACACCGGGGAATCGCCCCATATTTAGCACTGTTATTGTTTGTGGACTGAAAGATTGAAAGACGTGTTCGTTTGTGTGCGTATACGCATACTTAACGCAATATGTTCATAATTCATACGCGACTAAAATAAGGCCTGGCATGGCCAGGTGGTTAGAGCGCTCGACTCGCAATCTGAGGGTCGCAGGTTCGAATCCCTAGCACAAGAGTTCAAATCGCTCGCCCTTTCAGCCGTGAGGACGTTATAATGTGACTCGTTGGTAAAAGAGTAGCCTTCCCGCTAGTCTTTCACTGCTAAATTAGGGACGGCTAGCGTAGTTAGCCCTCGTGTAGCTTTGCGCGAAATTCAAAACAAATCAAATTTAAATAACGAGATGGTATACAATTATTATGGGCCGACTCCAGTACTGGTTGTTTGAGGTGTTCGACTCCAGGCTGAGTGAATAATGGGCTGGAACCGGCATACGCACATGCAAAGGAAATGCACAAACCCTGTCCAATCAGATGTCATTTCACGTGAGCACATCCCATCAGCTCATCTAACGCCGTTTCCGAGGCGTGGTCAGTAAATAAAAAAAAACGAATATTTGAAGGATTTATTCCTCTCTTACATCATAGACTGGGATTCAAAATTTCTATGATTTGTATACTTACATTAAGAAAATAAAATGAACTTGTTCGAGAAACAAATAGGTTTAGGAACCCTGTTTTACAAGTTTTAAATTTAATATAAATGGAGTTGTTCGAGAAACAAATAGGTTTAGGAACCCTGTTTTACAAGTTTTAAATTTAATATAAATGGACTTGTTCGAGAAACAAATAGGTTTAGGAACCCTGTTTTACAAGTTTTAAATTTAATATAAATGGATTTGTTTGTTTCTTCTTAAGTACAAAATTATGCTGTTGTTGTTGTTTTGAATTTCGCGGCTATCTGCGCTAGCCGTCCCTAATTTAGCAGTGTAAGGCTAGAGGGAAGGCAGCTAGTCATCACCACCCACCGCCAACTCTTGGGCTACTCTTTTACCAACGAATAGTGGGATTGACCGTCACATTATAACGCCCCCACGGCTGAAAGGGCTAGCATGTTTGGTGTGACGGGGATTCGAACCCGCGACCCGCAGATTGCGAGTCGAGCGCCCTAACCACCTAGCCATGACAAAACTATGCAATAGAGAATCTGTGCTATGCTCACCACGGGTATCGAAAACCGATTTTTAGCGTTATAAATCCACAGACTTACCGTCAAGCCACTGAGGGGCCAAGATAAAAGAGATATATTGTGATTAACAACTGTAGTGGCATATTCCTAGTGTTTTTTTCTTCTTAAAATTAGTTTCTTTCTTTAATATTATTGATCATAAAGTTTGAAATAAAACTTTTTAATATTATTGTTATTACTTTTTACACTTATGAAGGCTATTTTGCATTTTTAGCCTAATATAGGTAGACATAGCCTAAGTATCCTATGTTGACCGAACTTCGTGAGACATTATTGGGATTTCGGCCGAAAATATCGTTAGTGGAAGAGTACACAACCAATGATTCAACACATTCTTATAGTTATGTATTTATTTATGAATATGTTGATTTATGACGTTATGTATTTGTCAGTTTGCTATATATATATATATATTTGACTTCATTAATATGTAGATTAATGATTTATATTGTTAGCTTGTTTTTGATCACAAGTTATCATTAATAAGGCACACCTCGATTACTACAGTAGCAACTACACATGTGTAACATTACATCTTTTAATGAGTTTTATATAAAATATCCAAGACCACACATGACTTTGCATTTTGTGTAAATTATACTAAATTTTGAAGACCACGTACAAATGAGGTGTAATACTAACACATAGCGTCAGACTTTGACCGTGCGGAAATTGGATATAGGGGTTGACATTTTGATAGCTTGTAAGATACTTCAAACTTACCTAAAAGGACTAACGTTTTTCTTTTAAAAGCAGGTAACATCACAACTTCTTCGTAGGTTGCTATGTCCAGCTGATCAAATATGGCGTTGTGCTTGGCTAAGTATTTGTCTCGATAATGTTTCTTCTTTCTGCTAAATATTGAGCAACTAACTGAAAATTGAAAACCCTTATGCTTTTTTAAACAAATACATAAATCATTGCAACACAAATTTATAAAGTATCTGATAAGTTAAGCCTAATATTAGGCCTAACATGTAACTGTCTTCTATCAAAGTAAAACTATTAACATTTGGCTACTGTAGTTGTTGGATTGTTGTTGTTTGAATCTAATGGGCTATCTGTGCTCTGCCCATTATGGGTATCGAAACCCGGTTTTTAGTGTTGTAATTCAGCAGACATAACGCTGTCTGGGGGGGGCGTAGTTGTTGAAGAGTTCATTGTCTCAATGAATACACGAATGCACTTTGGGCTATCTGTGCTCTGTCCACTGCGATTAAATCCGACTTGTACCGTTATATGCTTTCAAACTGTGATTGCTTCTTTTTTATTTTTTTATATTTCCTTCCTTTTGCCCCCCTAGTGGCACAGTGGTATGTCTGCGGAGTTACAACACTAAAACCCGGGTTTCGATACCCGTGGTGGCCCACTGTGTAGTTTTGTGGTTAACTTCAAACAATCAAACAAATTCCTCCCTTCTGTGCATCACTCCCCAAGAAAAAAAATTATGACCCCACGATATTTCCCCAAGAAAATATGTGGTTATTCCATGTAACTACTGTTGATTAAATTCAAATTTTACACCTTAAAACAAATAGATAAAAAATTGACAGTAATGTTCAAGCCTTTTATCATATTTAATTTTACTTCAAATTGCTCCTTTTAAAAATTGAAATAATTTCATCATTCGTACCAGTACTTACCTTGGTGAGATTTTGTCTCTTCCATGGCAAGGGAAGCCATCCTCCACTCCTGAAGCTCAGGTGAAGGAATGAGTCCTGCCGTCCCATTGGTGCTTTCCTTTTTTGCTTGCCACCAATTGTGATCGTCCTTACTGATTACTTGAAGAATGTCACCTATTTGAAAAGACACTCCAGCTTGCGAACAGGGTATCAAGTCGTCATCGTAGGGATTGTAAGAGAACTGAGCGCGTACATAGACCTGAAATAAAGTTCCATGTAATATTTCAGGCACACACGCACACAGATTCAATTGTTTCTAAACTATATTATATAGCCTCGTATACTGTTTTATGTAGCAGCTTTTTGTTTGCATCAAAGTGACTGTTCGGTTGGGCAAAAATTATCGTGATATCGGGTCCCCTTATGGGACAGTGGTACGTCAGCGGGCTTACAACATTCAAATCTATGGTTCGATTCCTCGCAATGGACATAGCAGATAACCCAATGTGGCTTTGCTCTAAAACAAACAATCGTGATATCGGATCTTTTATAATACAAGTTAATTAAAAGAAATATAAAATAGGAAGGATTGAATGAACCCCTCGAAGTCCTTTCCCTGTTTGAAACATAAACGTCACCAAATTATATGACACTTTTAGACAAATTTGGTTGCTGACATGTAATAATTAGCAAAGGCAACAAACCACTTAAGTT